GTAGATTGCTTCAATGTATAGAGTTCCTCTTGGAGATTAGAAACTCTTACCATATCTCCTTGAGCGAATTGATCGTGCAGATCCTTTCCAGAGGTCTTTCGCATAGTCAAATGAAAGCATAGATTGAGCTATAGAAGGTGATAAGGACTTCAAGATCCAGGTTAGCACAATAGTGTTGCAATGCTCCCATGCTTCGTAAACTGGATCGTCCTTGTTCGGAACAGGAATTGAACCGTCAACAAACTTGAACTTGTTATTAGTGACTAACGTCATATGCATCGATCTTGACCAGGAATAGAAATTATTACATGTCAAGACCGAAGAAATAGGCATTTACACTGGACTTTCATTCGGATGGAGGTAAAAGGATTGACGAGGATCTCTTCAATCTTTGAAGATTCTGAACTTAAAGACATTGTTTCCAATTTTACTTGATAACACTTCAACAAAATTGTTGCTAAAAGTTACGACCTAACAGAACTAGATTTTAAATCAAGGATCTAGGGTTTCTTTAAAAAAAACTTCTAATGTTACTTGAATCGACTTTTTATTGCTCTGATACCATGTTAAAGTTCATGAAACAGAAGAATTAACAAGATTCAGAGAACACGAGATTGTAAGAAATCTAAAAGTGTAGTTCGAGAATGAGAGAGAACTGATATTGAAGATATTTGTAAAATCAATTTTCTTATCTTTTATTAATTGGGGATCTTGGTATTTATACAGAGAGAAACAAAACTTTTACTTATTACAAAGTAAACCGTGTAGTTATAATATTTACAAACTAAACCCAACAAAATATATTAATTATAATTCTAACAAAACTTGTTAAGTACTCTAATACTTTTAACCAAAAGAATCCCAATGGAACCACTGCGTTTCGAAGAGAAAGGCTCTAGGACAACACTAAGTACTAATCAATCAGCCATGTCAACGACAATTGAAACCCAGGACTAAATTACACGATTCGGCCAAACAAGATGCCCGGTAAATGCTTGCATCAAAAGAAAGTAGTGCATCCTCATTATAATGAAGAAAGAACGTGAGAATCATGATTTAAATTATGAAATCAATGTGAATAATTGGATAAAAATCTTTCTTCATAAGAAAGAAAAAGGAAATTTAGAAGTTTTACCTGAAAAGTCGCCATAAAGCTGCTAAAGCCTGTATCTGCTGTGAATATAAGAGGGCAATCAACCAGTGAAGAGCTGACACATGAAGTGTTACCAAGGTCATAATGTCGATGAACAAAGCAGCAGGTATGGTGACCCCAAAAAAAATTCCCAATAAAGCAAGTGCTCTTATAAAATGAATGATGAGAGAACCCACAAAGGTCCAAATGGTAGACCAAATCTGTATTGCATTAAGAGAAATCATGCCAAGAACTCCTGCCAATTCTGTGTTCAACTTGAAACCCGCTGGGACTCCCATCAACCACACACAACCCGAGCGCAAAAACTCATTTGTAATATAACTTGAAAAGTTTAAAATCCATAAGCAGATAGATTCTGCATAAAATAACATTCCTAACCCAATCAGGTTTCCCAAAAGAACATCAATAACTAAACTCGACCACATGGAATGTTTATGAAGTGCAGCTTTTTCAGCAAATTCTACACACGATTGAGACCTGATAAACCAAAAAGGACATTTAAAATAATAAGGAAAGAAATCACTGAAAAACTAAAGATTGAAATATATCATATGTAACAATCTTATAAATTAATGGTTCCCATCAAATTGAGCCACAGGATCCAAGAATACATTTAAATTCTGTACATTGAGAAGGTTTTTTTTTGTTAACTGAAAGAAAAAGAGTAAATGTATGGACAAGGCAACGACAGGGTGCCACCCAACCACAGAATGAGTCCTCATTAACCTATGGCTGCTGCCATAAAAAATGAACAGAGTTTCAGATGATAGATCTCTATTTCTAACATAGAAAAGTTACAACTTCAAAAGCCATTTTATCTCTCTCTTCCTAGAGAATCCACAGGCTAGCCAAGGGGATAAGAGAAACAAGTTCTCTCCTCTTATCACCCCAGATGCCCTACCAAGCGCAAACCTCGTACACAACAAAGTCCAGTATCACCAAAGTCAACCCTAGAAATCAATAGCAATGCACCAAAGACATGAGAAGAAGGGTCCCACAAAAGGAGGTGATTAGGAACTCAACAGCAACCCTCTTGAACGGGTAACACCCGTTCTCCCTTTAGCTGCCTGCTAAGTTTAAAAAAAATCTGGGGGACCGAGATTTAAATAAATGAAGGAGAGTTGGTGAGTAAGATCAAAGGAGTTAGATACCAAATGCAGATTAGAGAAAGAAGAGCTCTCAAATTGTTCTTTTCTTCATTACAAATCCAAAGCTTTGAGAAAGAGATACTCTAGTACAAGAAAGGTCAAAATTGATTGATACTTTAATGACTTGTGACCAGTTAAAATTGTTCAAGCTACCTTAAGAAGTAAACCATCATAAGTGATGACATCAAAACTTTTATTTATTGAGATATATTAGAGACTTAGTATAGATCAAAACAAATATCTACAATATGACCACTGTAATTACCTGAGATCATTATCTTGAAGAAACATTGGCCAATATAAAATTTGACAACAGCGAATTTGGACATTTAAGTGCGTACTGCTGAGTATCCTAGTTGATGTACTAGATATCCATGGTTGTGATCCAAAACTTAATAATGTACAGAAAAACTGTACGAACATATAGACTAGGGTGGATAATGAAGCTAGGATAAAGGCCAATAATTGCGATGTGAAATTATTAATCCTGAAAAGCACAAGACCAGCCATCAGAAAACCCAGAAGGATATAGTAAGAAAGTACTAAAGTATAGAACAGAATACCTGTGAATATTGGGAAACTTCATTGAAGATCTCTTGGAGCCCATGTGTTTTTTATGCACTATTTTAGCAGCAGCAGCAGCAGCACAGTTGATTGACAGGATAATAGTATCCTGCATCTCAAAGAAAAATGACAGTGAGAAGGGTGCTTAAGATAGAGCGACTAATTACCAATTGACCTCAGTGCATTCAGTAACATCCCTTGCATAGGATACCTGACATTCTCAGTTCAAGCATTATTTCTGCACTTTGGGGCCCTGAAAGAGAAAAAGAAAAGAACAATTGTTTGATTGCTGAAACAAGTACTTTACCAAGTCATTAAGAGGCTGCTTTTGGCAAAGTTCATCAAGCCACTTGGGTTTCTTAAGAGGAGCATTCACTTGCTCAGCAGGTTTCCAAAAATTTGGCAAGAAGTGGTGCACACCATATGTTGG